TTTCGCTTGATTAGAGGTTTCCATATGTTACGTATCTCTACGCTAGCTTGACTAAATGCGTTGTTGGACAACATATACGCAGCTTCTTTGAATTTTCTCCTAAACCAGTGTTCCTCTTTGTGGATGATTTCAGCTTGAGCCCACTTGATATTGTGTTGATGAGTCCAAACATGCTCTGCTATTCCGAATTTACTGGTTTCTCCTCGCGGTGTGTGTGTTTCTTGTGCTCAGAAATGCGAACTTTCAATGGCCTCTTAGTTTCACCGATGTATGATTCTCCGCACTCGCAGGGTATCCGGTAAATGCAATTCTTGGAATCGCAGTCTGCGTTTGGTGGCCTGGTTCCCAGATCTGAGGCAAGTCCTGATGTTATACTTGCACCCAATCCGTCTTCTCCTTTCCGATAATCCTCTGATGTAGGGAAGTACAAGTACTGGTTGTGGTGACTTCTTTTCCTTGTGGAGTTCTTGCTGTCTTCTAGCTAAAGCCTGTTCTACCATCACTTTGGAATAACCATTTCCTTGAAGGTTATTTTTGATGATGCCTAGTTCCTTTTCGAGATCTTCCTTTGTATTACAGAGCCCAAAAGCACGGTCCAGTAGAGTCTTGATGATTCCTCTCTTAGTCGATTGATGGTGGTTGGATTTCTGGTTCAGATACTGTCAGAGTAAGGAGGACCCACAGCACTTAGGCCGCATGTGACCCATTGTGCATCCTCCCGAGGAGTTGTCCTCCTAGGTCATCGTCCATCCTATTATTTCCAGGAAGGTGGACAGGTCACTAGAAGGCATCTTTATATTGGCAGGTGTAGGCCGCAGGAAGATTCCTTGCTGTTGGAGTTGGGTGGGGCAAGAGGAGGGTGCACTTACAGTTGCTACCACTCCTGCCTCCTTTGCTCTCTTTCTTCTTTTGGCCTCAGCGCCGCAATGCGCTTACACCTTGGCCTTTGTATTACATCACGAGGTGATCTGCTATGTCCAGCCTCATTCCAAGCGGTAGATTGGGGTGGACCTTTCTGTTCATCCCCAGCCACCGCCTTTGATTGAGGTGAGCACTTCTGCCCAGCTTCGGGATTGGTTTTTGTTGTCTCTGTTTTTGTGTTTGTCTCATTCATGTGTGTTCCCACGAGTAGCAAGGGAAGAGTTGGTCACTTCTGGCAAAGCCCCGCATTACCAGAGGTAGGCTGAGCACAATGAGGTTTCGCCCAGTTCCCCAAGAGGATCGTTCGTAACCGCATGTCACCCTGCGACCATTCAGCTGTCGGCACGATTCCTTACACCTCAGCTTTGGTAGGCTGGTCCACGGTGGCATGTTTTGCAAAGGCTTTTAGGGAATTTTAGTCCCCCTCACCCTACTCATTTCTGCCACTGACCAGGAGGCCACATTGGCTTCCCGGGCAGGGCCTCCAGTCCTCTGGCCGTTCCCCTATCCGCCACCTGGGGGCGCGCGCGATAGGTAGTCCAACCCGCGGGTTGTTGTGGGTAAAAATGGACTCCAATATGTCTCGGCCCAATCATGTCGCTGGAATTGCAAAGGCTGTTTCTCAAAAGCTTGGAACACTGTTTCGAAAAAAAAACTATACACACCTTAGCAACTTTTGATGCTTTATAAAGCTCAGATCAGACGTTCTTTGGAGTAATGTTCTAATGTATGGAGCTTCGCCCCCAAAGTTGCTGGATTCCATCCAAAAAAGAACCTTGCGCCTGATTGGAGACGTGACTATCACTGGCAACCTTGATAGTCTGGAAATCGAAGAAAGGTTGAAGATTTGTACAAGAACGGACATATTAGAAATACGCGACGGTCTGTGGCTGCTCATCGTTTCGTGGTTCAACTCAGTACACGTCGAACACCACTGTTCAAGAACTCTTTCATTTGGAGAACTGCGTTAATGTGAAATAAAGTTTCTGAGAACGTTTTTTCAAATGGATTCAATCTTAACCGATTCAAATCCAACGTGAATTGCTACTTTCGCACAGGCACCGCTCTTGAAGCGACACAAATGATATTAATACGTCTTTAGGAAACACTTGATTGATATATATTTAACTCTCAAAGTATTCCAGATTCAAATCAATGAACCCCCTGCCCAAATCTTGGAGCCCGTCATGTCCAAGAAAGATTTCGAGAAAGTGGAGAAAGCAGTCATGGAAAAGATGGACAAAGTGACATCCACCATAAACAAAATGGAAGGCGAACTCGCCAAAATAAGAGAGGACAACAAAAATTTGAACGCCATAAACGATAAATCGTCAGAGAACCTGGACAAGGTTAAGAGGCATCTGGATACTAGCGAGCAACTTTTGGCCAAGTTCGAGAGTAAGTTAGCTGAATACAACAAAGTTCCGGAGCCTCCAAAACCCGACAAGGAACATGAAGAATGGAAACAAAACTTTTTGAAAGGTAAGGAAGAACTTGGATATGGATATCATTAAACAATGAAGTGAATTGATTTCTGATGGCATCAAAAAGTGAAAGTGACTCAAATTATATGCTAAATATGTATTGAAATCTTAAAACTATTTTTTGGTTGCAGGTTTTCATGGGGAATGTTCCTCCTGACGAAAATCAAGTAGTTTTCATAAAAGAGCTCTAAAACAACGCATTTCAAACTTATCATTTCAACCTTTCTCTTTAAAAAATTATTTAAATACTTAAAAAAGAGGAATGAAATAATGTATTCAACATTTAAAGGGATTCGTTTCTATTTCACCATTTGGCAACATCGGTTATAGCTAATAAAGGACAATGAATCTGTTACCTGTATGAGACAAACAAAGATGACATATTTCAGAGGCGTGCTGTTCTGTTTACTTATGTTCCGAGACATTCTGTGACATATGACATTTTGTGCACCTAACCTATCTTCCTCTATATAAATAAATAACAAAACAACTGTTATTTATGTGGCTTGCGGAGGTGGTATTGAACTATAATTTATATTTTGCCTCAATTGTTGATTTATAAAGATAATTTTCCTTTTTTAAAGTAGAATATCTAGGTACGTATAAATTATTTCTAGGCGCTGTTGCCAATATGTGAATTAGAAACAAATCCCTTTGAAAATTGAAACCCAACATTTGAAACATCAATTTGAATACTTTTCGGAGTGAATTTGAAAAACTCATGAATTGAACTCAACTTTAATTTGTTCAAACTTGCATTTGCTGTAATAACCCAAATTGAGGAACATTCCCCATTGTCCTTATAAGTGTCGGGATGCGAGTCTCCAGTTTTAAATTTCATCAGTGGTGGGTGTAGTGTCGTTCCTATTAATTGGATTGATCAGCCTAACTTGTGTATTGTTGAGTACAGGTAGCTACACTTTCTTCATGTTAATTCCCTCTTCCTTTCGGTTCTGGATAAGCGAAATTTTCAGCTGAATTGCAAATCGTTTTTGTTCTGTTATAATGATGATTTTTCATACCTGTGCATTTCTTTAATGTCCCCCCCCCCTTTTATTGTTTGAAAGGGTCAACTCAAAAAATTGAAATTTGGGATGATGAAATTAATGCATGAATACTTTATTTTGAAGTGGAATTGACAGATGAAATTTTCAAGATGGCGACTACGCCATCTGGGAAAAAAATTGAATGGAAAGGGGGTCCACATCATTTTGAAGTTCCTGACGAATAATTCACAACCCTAGAATATGAAGTCTGGTTATTCTGTTACAGCTCTGGACGCTCAGAAGTCCCAGGTTAAGGAAGTGCTCTCAGACATGAAAAACGTCAAAGACAAACTAACTGAGCTACCGAAGAAAAGCGACTTGGGCCTCATCCAAAACACCACTCTAGAAAAACTAGAGGAAATAAAGCAAGAAACGATAAAGCAACCGAACTTGACTTCCCAGCTGCTAACAGACACCCTCGAAGATATCAACAATAACGTGAACACGACTCACGAAGAAACAATCAGGAACATCAACGTACTGTCCGACATCGCCGCCAACTTGGCAGAAAGTTTCGCGGCGAACTACGGAAAGATCAAAGAGGAGATGCAAGCTTTGGGAAGAGTCGACCAGGTCATGATCAAAACGGCCGACAACGTTTTGGATACGAAACGCCGGTTTGAGTACGGGGTGCACCAGATTTTAGCGGAGGTGACTAAACAGATTAAAGAAAGCACCAAGGATATCAACCAAGCAATCAGTGACAGGTAACTCACAATAATAAGCAGTTTTGTCAGTAATTACAAAATGCAAACTTTTTCGGCCGGAGATAACTATGTCGAAGCTATTTTTATGCCTGTAGTTTCGTCTACAACTACGATATTGTCCCGTTGTTCCGAACGTGCTGGTTCCTATAATGCTGACTCTGATTTTATATAATTATTGGTGGGCGTGGCACGGTTTCTCTCAACTGGATTACCTAACTTTGTTTATATACCTTTAAGGATAGGTAGCCAGATTTTATTAATGTCGATTGCCTCTTCTTTTTTATTTTAATTATCCCTTTGTTTTTGAATTTCTATTGCCTCTATACTATTGTATAATAATATATATATATATATATATATACTTCACTATCGTCAAATAAAAACTTTCTGTCGTGTAGTAATATTCATTATAGAATCGTTTCAGATTCGACAATTTCGAAATGTCAATGTTAGATGAAGAAACAGGCGCTTTGGCTAATGCGACATCGAAATTAGAAGAAGACATCCATCAGGTGTGGCGCCAAATAGGAATCATGTACCAACAGATGACAGCCAGTACTGACACCTTAAACAGACTGCAGAACCAAACCAACACCTACGTGAATGGTTCTCTAAACGTTATGGACAACATGAAAGGAAAGGTTAGTATCGCCCTTCGCAACCAGAGAGTTCTCTATTAGTTGTATGGCATTCAGAATGGTATCTCTGTGCAAAAATAACAATTTTCATTTTGTTGAAATCACTGTAGATAGATTACTGTCTTCCATTCTTCTCTCTCTCTCTCTCTCGAAAATCACATCTCATCACAAAAACGACCAATAACATCGTTCGTTTTTTCAAAAAGACAGACTTTGACGTGGCAAATCTTCAGTGTCGGGTAGATCAGGAGTATATTGTGGTTCTTGTCCAAAACTTTATATTGGTCAAACGGGAATGTTTTTCCCAAAGAATCAAAGAACGTAGTAGTTTCTTGAATGTGAAGACCAATTCAACATTCGCAAACCACTTTCTGACAAAGGAGCATTACTTCAACCACGATGTGATTTGTTTTTCAGATCTAATCCTTTGAAAAACTTCAATTTCATCGTAAATTTTAACATTGTAACGCTCTTTACGCGTTATGGGTCACTTTGACGCCGAGTTCAGGTCACGGGTTGCCTCGGGCGCCAGCTTTCGGTGTGGTGTGCTCCACGTGCACTGGGCAGCGTCAGTGAAGAAGGTAATACACCAGGGGTCTCTATGGTATTGACTAAATCAACTGTAGCCAGTACGGCAGGCTTTATTTGCCGTCCTGGGTTCAAATCCTGGGTACCTGCTGCTTTTAGTTAGAAGTGAAATGAAACAAATAAATCAGACGTTATCAAATTTATTTCAACACATCAATACAGTTATCAAGAAAAATTAATGTAATACTATTTTTACAAGCGGGAGAAAGCGGACAAAGGTTACGCATTCATCATGCCAAGCATCGAGACTACGGTAAACGGCAAGCACAAGTGCTAAGCTCATTCAAAACTCTTATATAATGATTCTTGATTTTCGGTTCAAAACAGATAATTGATAATATACAGTGGTATCAACTTGAAGGGTGTTTGGCACACGGCCCTCGACAAATTATAACAATAATATAATGGTACACCCGATATAATAGTTCATCGGAATGTGGGGTGTTTATCACACGGCCCATGTAAAACAAAATCAGTATATCAATATGAAGGGTGTTTAGCACTCCACCTTCTTCAAAATAAAGTAATCAACAATATCAATACAATTGACCACTCGGTATCAAGGGTGTTTTTACACGGCCATTAATACAAACCAATCAGTTATCAAACGAACTGAGAAACACTACTTTTTATCCACTTACTTTTTTGTCTATCGGTTTGCTTTTATTTATCGGGGTTCGGACTCGAGCGGAGCTGGAACTGAAACTAAAACTCAACTGAACTCCTGGACTCCAACTGCAACTGGAACTGCCTTGGTCCCCCCATGCCCCCTCCCTGGTTGAATGCCCTGAAGTAGAAGCTTTCCCCCCCCCCAGCTATTTAGCGAGGAGAACCTACTACCCCACTTCATCCACCCCCGCTCTCCAAGCGGTCCTCAACTTACTGATCGATACTTCAGCAAGATTGACATCTGACCTCTTTTGGTCGAAAGTCAGCCTTTAGGTGCTATTTTTTCGCGATCGATAAAAAATGTTTCGTCTTGACTATCTCAACTGAATTTTTGCATGGGAGCCCCCAAAAACTAACCGGCGGCTATTGTTATTAACGTCGGGCGTTCCTCAGTGAATCTAAGGATAATTGAATCGCGGTCGAGTTGTTCTGCGGTGAACTTGCTGAAGGAAAATCTGATTAGTATGCTTACCGGCGACTCGTTGGTTCTGCTTGGTCGGCCTTAGATGTTTGTCCCTTTCTCGGAACCTGGGGTCATCCATGTTCAACGCATCGTGTAGATCGCGTAGCACTGGGTTGTGCGATCTGATTCTATCGAACACGTTTTCTGCGTGTTCTCTCATATACACGTCCACATATTGCGTGTCCAGGTCTAAGTCTCTGTATATATATCTATTTGGGATATAGTACGGCGCGTTTACGGCGGGCCCTTACGCTCGCGTTCATAAACGACTGTATCTGCTTCCTGTATGTATGTGCGCACTGGGCCCAGGCAGTGCAGTCCTACAGTATTATGGGCTAGAGGACGGTTTTGATCATTAGCAACTTCACTATCAACCCCAAGTTGCTTCTGCCTTGGTCGTCGATGGTCATCGTCGTTTTAATCAGGTTGGAGCCTTGCTCCCTTACCCTTTGGGCTGGTTTTCGTCAGAGAGACAAATGGGTCATGACTGATTTTTGATGGTGGCATGAAAGTCCTCAGACAGCCATACCGCCCTTCGCGGTGTACCCCTACCTGGCTGGGGTGAGATGGATGAAGATATTATTCATCTGTTAACGGAGGACATAGAGGCCTCATTCGACAGAGTGTCGGGGCCTTCTATATCGAGAGGGTCGTCTAAAGCGTAATCTATAGCTTCCCTGACTAACGGATTGTCGTGAGTTTCAGCGTAATCTAAAACTCGCCGATTCCTCGACTGGATGGACTGCTGAATGGCAGGTAGCTTCAAATATATGCGGATGGCTTCATTCCGCACGAACCACGGATCATTCACAATCATCCGTAGAATTTTATTTTGTAAGGTCAACAGGTGCGGGTTTCAGGTGAGCCTCCGGTCTATAAGAAGACCTAGGTACTTGACCCGCGTTTGCCAGTTAATCTCCCTTCTAGATATTCTTACTTTCATAGCCGGAGAAGATATCGTTCTTCCCATGGTTATTGCCTGAGTTTTTTCCGGGTTCACTCGGATCTTCCACTCGAGGTACCAGCGCTCGAGGTCGCCCAATGCACGTTGTATATAGACGATCCCGAGCTCCCGACCCATGGAAGACGAGAGGAGAACCGTGTCATCGGCGTAGAGAGATACCTTCACATGCTCGGACCTCGGAAGGTCGCTGGTGTAAAGGGAGTAAAGCGTGGGAGAGAGCACGGCCCCCTGTGGCACTCCAGCAAGGATCTCTCTGTTGTCAGACAGAGAGCCCTCTACTCTAACCTGAAATGTTCTGTCTTTCAGGAAAGAACCAATCCACCGGATCAGGCCCCGAGGCAGGTCGAACGCGATTAATTTGTGTAGAAGGCCTTCATGCCAAACACGGTCGAAGGCTTTCGAAATGTCTAATAAGACTAGATGAACTTTTTTGTTCCTGTTTAGCTCCGCGATGGTATTTTTTAGCTTGGTAGATGCTCTCGAGATTATTTGAAAGAAAGTTATACGGCGGTGTCCGGTGATTTGAGAGTTGTGCCTTCCATCGATGGTACGGTGTATTAACAAATAACGTATGATTTTCAAATCTCATTGGCGACCTGGCATAGTACAGTTTCCTATCGCTATAGAGTGGCAAATCGCATTGGCGACCTGGGATTTCTATCGCGATAGAGTGGCAATTTGATCGAGGAAGGTATTCATTCAATAGGGGTCAAATAAATAACGGAGCAATAATATAAACACAAAATAAAAAGCTGATTCTACCTGACGTACTACTGGGGAAAATAGTAACTTCGTTACAACATATAACTCGCTCGTCTTTTCATTAATACATTCCTCTTTCTCCATTGTGAACAGGATTTTCAGATTCCAATACTTCAAATGTTCCAGAAATGTTGCCAAGTCCCGTGTCCCCAAACCACGAATGTATTATCAAGATATCGTAGCCAGCAGGAGAATCGGGCCAGCCAATGGTCTAGAGCTCGTTGTGGGAATTGTTTTATGCAGAAGTTGGCAACTTCTGGACTTAGTAGACTTTCCATTGCAACTTCTTTCTTTTTAATATTACTGGAGTTTTTTCCCAACACCAAGTCGTTATTTTTAACACCTCGACACGTGTTTCGATCACCAAGTGATCATCTTCAAAGAGGGAGATTAAACTGGAAACTAACGCGAAGCTAACGCTATTTATGCTATATAGATATCAAATACAGGTAAACCATCCAGGTGTACCACCCATACAGGTATACCAACCTAAATTAATTTTACAATTTTTCCTTATCTATTATTTTACAATATACATTCAACTGTTAAAGCTGTATATAAAACAATTTTCAGCTATATAAAATTAATTTCACAATATTGCCTATCTAAATTTATTTTTGCAATGCGTCCTTTGTAGTAAACAAGCTATGTATATGCTCTTTGGTATAGGTCCGTCATCGTTATTCATAATATTATTGTGTTTACTTATTTCTACACAATCATAGGCATCTAGTTGCCTGTTGTTGTTAACTTATCTTAATGAACTGAAGTCTATGGAATGGTTTTGTTGCTATGTGTTCCTCATATCTTACTTTAATAGATCTTTTTGTCTGTCCATAATATTTTGCATCGCAGTCATTACATTCAATTCCGTAAATTCCAGACTTTTCCGAATTCTTGACTTTGTCTTTTGGACTTCCCAAAAGGCTCTGTAGTATATGACTTGTTTTAAAAACCACCTTCATACCGAGTTCCTTGAAAATCTTTCCAAAGTTCCTCGTATATTGGTGGTATGGAACTGAGATGTATTTAGCTTGGTTTTTGTCCTTTCTGAAAGTCTAGATTTCATTCATTCTTAACCTAAACTTCTTCTTCCTTATTATGTCATCTACAATACCCCTCGAGAAACCGTTAGTGGCTGCTATTTCCTGTATTGTACGTCTTTCTTTTGTGAACCTATCACGTGTTGGAGGGAAAGTCAAAAGACGATGCATTAAAAAATTCAACCCAGCACTTTTGTGCTGTCCACAGTGATGTGAACTGTCAGGAATATACACATACGTGCGTGTTTCTTTTCTAAATATATCGTATTCTAACCCTCCATGTTGGCTCCTCATTACCAAAAAGTCAAGAAATGGTAGTTGTCCATTATTTTCTAACTCATACGTGAATTTTATTGATGGACATCTATTATTTGAAATGGAAACAATGAAATGAAATATTTAGTAATATTGGAAGTATATTAATTTCAAGCAATGTTCAAATAAGGCGTTGATGTCTGGAGAAAAGAACCTGGTAATGGGTTGCAAAGTTTCACTAACCGAAACCATTGTGAATAGTGATTCAACATCAAAACTAACCAACATGTCATGAGGATTCATTCTGGTGTATGGGAAAAAGAACTCGTTATGCTCGAGGCTTCAGATTCATCAGTTCTTCTTATACGGTTACATTCTCCTACAATTATAACTCTTCAATCGCCTTCTTTGTTTATTTCAGGTCGGACAAATTACAGGAATGATGAGCGACGTAGAAAGTAATCTGAACTATTTGTTAGGGAAATTGTCCCTAGTAACGAAGGAATTCAACCAAATCAAAACGGGTCTCGGGAAAGCTTTGGATCAGATAAGAGACAGTTTCCACACGGTTCAAGACAAAATGAAAGATGCCGGCCCTGGACCCCATCGGATTTCGAGCAATGAAGTTGATCCGAATCCAAAGTGAACCGTCTTTAGCAACGATTGGAAAGCATAATTTTATGTTAGTTTTAATTTTATACTTTGAATAGGGTACAATATAAAAGTTAGCTGAAAACGTGGATTTGATTTTTTTCTTGATAATAAATTTCAGGTTCAAAAACCTTCCCAACGACGATATTTTTTAAACGGTTTTTTAAAGGTTGCCCTGTTTATATATTTGTTTGGGTGAAATTTAGTAATTGAAGTTTAACTGACCCCCTTCCTGTTGTTAGATTGATCTGACATTTGGTACACACATTTATTTTTGATGACAATAGAATTTAATGAATTCTGTGTCATTGTAAACCCAAGATGGCTGCAGCTACAAAATGGCAGATTGCATATTGTTTCACAAAATGTGAATATAAAAACACCTACAAAAAAGTAAAGTTAGAACACACACAGTTCAATATCGAAATTTTGTCTCAACATGGTTGTGTACAGACTTGTTTAGAAATATTATCAACACATATATAATCCGGTCAATCTAGACATTGGTGCCATAAGAGTACAATCACCGTATGCCACTGTCAACATTCCAAGAGTTTTTGAGCACTTAATTCCATTTTTAACACAAAATTTGATGCAAATTCTTTGCTTTATTTCTTCGTTAGCAGAAAATCGCCGAACACGCAAAACATTTTTTGCTTTCAAGCCTTTCACCAACAAACTAAACATCTTTAACAGCTGAAACTGTGGAGATGCCCGAGTGTGCCAACTTAAAAAAAAATCACTACTCGAATGTATGTAGCCCGTGAAGTTCGCCAGTCCACATATATTGTGTAGCAATCCTGTGGATGATATCTGATTCAATTCCATAACGCATGTTTGAAGAACAAACTGATTAGGAAAAACTGTTTTTGTATAATTTGTTTCTGAAGTTTTTTTTCGTGTAATCCAGTATTTATCTAAAAATAGTTGTACCGAGAGAGCTTTCTCTTCTGGTTTGTGTCTGAAAGTTAAAAGTAACTTCTTTGCATGATCTACACGTCTTTGTATAGGGTTTATTGTGAAATTAACTGCTTTCTTCCTTTCTTTGGAAGATTCCCACATTTTTTTGTATAAAGATGGAGAAGTAGAAGACAGAAACCTTTTTTCCCATAAATTATTCTCTCCTGAAAATAAACCACATTCAATTCATAAACGGATGCCTTTTTTATTTTATATATTGTTGCCTGGAGGGCGAGAAGGTTTCAAACTGACACCCTGTATTTCCCGACATTTTTATCCTTGGTTTTGTGTACCCACTTGTACAAAAGTTTTCTCCAGGATCTTCAAAAGATCTCTCAAATTTGAATCCAACCACTTCAAAACAGACAGTATAAAATTTGGCTGACTTTTTGAAAATATCCCTCCCCTAGCATAAACCATCCCTGTCTTTATGGTATTTCCAGGTATACCTTTCAGATACTGAGCTCAAATCAACTACTAGAATAAGTGTTTTGTAACGAAATCATTTTCTTTTTCTTCGTTCGTATTTACGGGAATTATTTGTTATTGTATAAATGTCCTTTGGTCGGCTGGACCGCCATTGTTGTTTTGCATTCAAAATTTTATTTTGTGCCATCACTAATAAGCAATAATTTGCATTCAGTCCGTGGTATTGTTAGCTGCATACCCAAAAAGCCAGTATTGGCAAAGAAACTACGTTTGACGAGGATCCGGAGCATTCCACTGGAAGGACTATAAACACTAACTACCCTTTTTGGAATATAGTTTATTTTATGCAGGTTTGCAGTGGGAAACTATAAGTTGTTGCCATCGACACTTTTCCAAGTATTACATTTCGTAACAGCTAAAGTTATTCTGAATTTCTTTGCGAGTAATCCAGGAATATGAGATAACTTATATTTCCTACAGTGTGACAGCATTTATATATGTAGGTTTGAATTAGTTGGTACAGAGGAATGAAACATTGTTTCCAAAATGTATTTCTGAATATTAACAATTTACATAGTATTAGTTCTGTCAAACTTTCAAGTAAACGAAATAGTACAACCTACTTTCCAACAGTTTCCCTATAATAATATAGTTTGGGAGCTAACTAATTTCATCTGTTTCACTGTCGTCATTTAGATCAATAATGAATTTATTTCCACCTTTAATAAAGAAGTGTCCAATTTCCATAAGTCTTTTTCAACTAAAATTACTTTTTTAATCCTTTTCTGTCAGTTTTCTTCGGTAATATTATATAATTCTTCTTTAACTAGCTCTATCACCTTCTTATCAAATTTTCGAAAATTATTTTTACGCCTGATGCTTTGTTTCAATTTTCCCCAAATCAACTTGATGGGATTGAAAACACAAAAATAGGGGGGAAGTATGGTGTGTCCATACTTTTCAGCAATACTCTCAAGAGTACACACTTTTTCAAATATTTTTGTCTGTACAACTTCAAGTAGTTGGTTTTTTGTATAGTTATCTTCAAAATACAAATTGTTATCCATTAAAAAACTTTGTATTTCATCTTTCCTCGAATTTTTATTCGGTATCTTTGTATTGGTTTTTTTTTGGCCTTTGAGGGCGCCGATAGCTTAAAGTATTCACAGTAAAGATTACCTCGACTATACCATACCCGATACACCTTTAACTTCTCAAATAAATTGGCCAGGTCGACCGGATCCACCCCGAAAACCCCGAAAAACCCTGAGATAACGAGATTCATTACAGGTTGCATACGTATTCGTAAAGGAAACAGAAAAACTAATTAAAAAAAATTTATTTACAATTTGCATTGGCAGTGTACTATTTTATAAATCGACCGATAAACAATCGACAATACATCTTTAGATAAGATAGGCAAAAATACAGCTGATGCTACATGAAACTGGGTATAGAAATCGTCATGACAATGTGTTCTACTGCAAATTCTCAAAACTAACAGGCGAAATATTACGAATCGTTTATTATCGGAGAGTGAATTACACTAATTACAAAAGTGAGGTTAGGCTTTCAAAATTTCCATACAATCGTTCGCTTGGTTGAAAGCTTATCATTACCGACACACACACACATTCAACGTTTTTTTTTTTATTAAATTGTTATACACTGAGGACGGATAGGTGTAGTTTTCATGTGATGGTAGGCGTAAAAGTTTCACCTCCGAGTTATACAGTGTGAACCAATTAATCTAGTTTCAATCCAAGCACAAATTCTTTCTATATTTTTCAAATTCGTTCCATTACTTTTCGAGAAAATTGTGAGCTAATGGCAAAGTCGTAAAACGGACTTTACTAAACTGTTTCTTCTGGGGCCCCCCACAAATTTGAAAACATTTCGTCAAAAATTCGGCTCAACATCAAAAGCAGATTATTTGATCAACTCCGTATAACCGCATCAAGAAGAGAAAATAGTACTGCTTACAAGCAATTCGTTAGCAATCTTGTGTAAATTTTTACAAAGGGTGGGCCAGAATGTTGAAAAAATTCATCATAGGAATTTTAAATCGTGACAAAATGCAAACTACTACCAAACAACAAAATATGAATCATTTGAATATTTACATTATTTTTTCAACGGCACCTAATTCAACGTAATTCACTAATTTGTGCTTATATCGATCTGCTGAGAAGCAAACTCTTCATTATCAGCAACACAAACGAAAACAGTAACAGATACTATTTCATCTTGTTTCATAGTGGACACTGCACAATTCTAATAATACCTTCATTCAATTTCACAAATATTCAATCTAAGGTAAAAAAGTAGAGCTACTGGTTACCCCAAGATCGCCCTGTACAAAATATTCAAAAGAAAGCCGTATTTTTGCCAAGAATATATTCAAATACCTTTATAACAATGGACTAAAATTCACCCTACGAAAAATACCCCATAATTCTGAAGTGATTATTGAAATAGGCAACAATTTATCAAATAATGGATGAACAATATTTTGAAATAGTTCAGGAACTGCTGAATTTTAAACTGTTATCGCAAAAAAAAACAGTCACATATTTTTCAGTGAACATGTTTTCAATGTTTTCCATATTTGAATATTTAGTAACAGAATTCCAATAACAACAGCCCTAATATTTTAAATGGAGTTATTTAACACACATGGAAAGACAAGAAAACCGTTTCATCCTAGATGATGTTGCGAAATCCAATAGTAGTAAATGAAAAGGGTACACTTTTAATGCTAAAAAAAAACTGTGAAACTTGCCATTCCTGCTTACTTCCGGATATACAGTCACTCGAAAGTCAAAATAGCTGTTCAGAAACTCATTTCTGGCAAAAAAAAGCTCGTAAAATAACGCCTTCTTTTTACGATCGTATACTACGGACTTTATTTATCGATTTGAAATGTTTTCACAGAATATATAAAATTCTTTATCAAAATAACCTATTTTTGCAATCGCGGAATCGGCAATTTTTTCACTGAACAAAATCTAACCTGTAACGTAACTCAGCAAGGCTAGATTCGCGATGAAAGAAAAGCTTTCTTCAAATATTAGTTGAACCAGTCGAATTCAACAGCTTTGTCTAGGTTATGTTACAATTTCACATTTGACAATATCGCATTTGTTTCTTTCTAGTATGTATTAGGTACTGCCAACAAAACCAACCAAAAATCCCTTTGTAGAAGTAAACTTTCTGTCTACCCTTATAGGACGAAACTGCAGTAAGGTTGTTTACAAACAAAAGTGTTATTTAATTTCGTAAACAACTGTGTACCTATATGTTAGGTTGGCTGAAAAGTTCGCTGGCTAACACACAGATGTCGTTACTAGTATTAAATCCATATGATTTTTAGCTGACCAGAAACTTCAAAAGACACAAGTGCAAATTTCCCAGCTGTTGGACTATTAGTTTGTGGGATAGAACATTTTTGAGTGAAGCAACTTTTGTTAGACTGAAGAAAATTTATGAAAAGGAATTTCGCGTGTTAATAAAGTATTGCTTTTTGGCGAAAAAATATTGTTGAAGCCAAGGATTGGCTCGATAAATATTATATGGGCTTTGCACCATGAAAATCAACCGTTGAGAAGTGGTTTGCTACGTTTGTGTCGTCTTCGAAGGCAACCATATTGAATATTAAAACAAATGTTATAAAAAAAATTCTCTGTTGGCCTACGAAATT